TATAGGAGAATCTGCGAGTATATATACATACATATATATATATTATATATATATATATATATATTGGTTTTTTACTGTCTAATTCTGTGGTTTTTTTTACCACTGTCAACGAAACAGCGGCCCTTCGCATCTGTCTGTGTTCTCGTGATTAATCGTCCATCTGTATATTCTTATACTGTACTATACAATAAGGTAAAGGTAATAGGCCTATCAACATTTTCGTATATCAATACGAAATGCTGAGAGAACTAATATCACAGTTAATCAACTGAGTCGTAAAATATCAGCCTTAAAAATATATTATTACTACGTGGTTAGGACGGGAATTTCTATTCATTTGAAACACAATCACACAAAGGCATAATTCCAGTGGTGGCATCGCAATTTGCCTGACGCGTGGGGAGGGGTAGGTTGGACGATTCCCCCACTGGAGCGTAAGAAGGGCCTCCTAACACAACTCGGATGTGGCCCCAAGAGAAAATGTGTAAAAAATCCGACAATTTGGGGTTTTTTGGCGAAATTGTTAGCCAAACTGTGTGGCTGTTTTCAACAGTATTTTAAAGTATTTCACATTTTCTGCTTATTCAGGTCTTCCCTTTTAGGGACATTGGTACAGGAGAAAAGCAAGCTGATTAATATTCCTGGCACCTTAAGGACCTTAGCTCATAGGCGTAACACCACTGGATACACTAGTATATTATCAGTTAATGTAATCACTCTGCTAGTTTCTAAATTAAAAATGTTGTCACCAAGTAATTGCGGTAATGTTTGAAAGTTTGCATGGCGACGTAATAATGTATTTTAACGCTTGCGGTACACCACGTAGTGGGTTGCTCCAATCGTCTTCAGAAGAATGTCTGAGATATTGTTCTCCTGAGAAACAGCTCAATCGAAACGTCGAGACATTCTGAACTATCTACATGGTGTACCGCAAGGAGTTTTTTTTTGCAACTGGGAACCAAGCTTAATAGCATTTGTAGTGGTTTTTATCTGCCCAAGTCCCCCTGTCGGACAGCTCAGCCGCCCCCCTCCCCCCAAAGAAATTATACCCTAGAGCCGCCACTGCCCTAAGCCTAAGGGCCTTTTTGCCCTATTCCCTGATTTACCTAATTTTATGTTATTCATTCCTGATTTATTATATGTATGTGTATAAATAGGCCTTCATAAAGCATTTATTTACTCACTTGTTTTAATTCATTATTGAAGGAATAATGCTCGATCGCGGATGCCATGTAAGTTGCAACACAACAAAAACAATCATCAACAGTTTTGCCAAACAATTCAGTGATCTGATTGGTCAATATTAAAGTAGTCGCCACTACGCCAAATTCAGAAATGGGGTAGTCCCGGAAGATCACAACGCCGATTTAGTCAGTAAAGTTTGTGAGCATGGGCAGATGTCTGTTACACTCTATTAGTTCGTAGTAGACTGGACGCGTAGTCAAAACGAAAAATGCCTAATATATAGATAAATACATTGCAATAGTTGAGGCAAATAAGTGAAATGAAAACACCAAATTATATTAAAATAAGAACTTTATTCTACAAAAAAAATATAAAAAGGCTATATATTCTTCATGTGAATTAAAAATTCAAATATACATAATATAAAAACACATAAACCCAGCCTATCTCACCCTATCAGTACTGTTTAACACCATTCACAATATTACCAATTGCTATGTTATGTAACAAATTCCAGAAATGTGCCCATATAGTTGCAATAGTTGAGGCAAATAAGTGAAATGAAAACACCAAATTATATGAAAATAAGAACTTTATTCTACAAAAAAAAAATATAAAAAAGGCTATATATTCTTCATGTGAATTAATAATTCAAATATACATAATATAAAAATACATAAACCCAGCCTATCTCTTCCTATCAGTACTGTTTAACACCATTCACAGTACTACCAATTGCTATGTTATGTAACAAATTCCAGAAATGTGCCCATATATGACATCATTTTGACCATATATGGGTGTGGTATGACATCACAATAATATATAGAGATTTATACCATGCCTTTTGCCAAGGGATACAGGGCACTGGCGATGTTGTTATTTTACCCCTGGTCATCGGATCCACAATCAAACCAGTACAAAGTGCAACCTCCTCCACTCCCTGGGGAATATTCCTAGTTGTGCGTGCAATTTAATGACGACACAGACTAATACTTGCAATGCGACATCATCCTACCAGGTACCCATTTATACTCGTGGGTGGAGAGAGGCAAACGTAAGTAAAGTGCCTTGCCCAAGGACACAAGCAATGCGACAAGCGTCAGTCTCAAACTCACGATCTTACGATTAGAAGTCCAACACCTTACACGCTGCACCACAAGCTCTTACATACCTTCATGTCCATATATGGCCAATTTAGAAGAAATTGGCGCATAAAACTTAATAGGGACAGACCTTTATACAAAAATAACATTAGCATGCATACTATAAAAATGACATTTCAATAGAAATTTGAAAGTCATATACTGAGTGTTCCAGTTGAAGCACTATATCTTATGCTTTAAAATGTATTAAAAATGGAATATCATTTATTATATATATAATTTATATATAATCAAATATATATACAGAGTTTTAAAACAACGTCAAGATAAGGATCTGTAAATCCTTTTTTTTTAAAAAAACAAAATGAAAGAACAACATATAATAGAAGAAGAAACCCACTGACAAAATCTAAAGGTTAGGACTAAAATTTATGTTAACATGGGTCGTATAAATGGTAAAATGTAAGTGACAGAAAACGTTATTGCAATCTTATCTTAAAAAGGCTTTCATTGTGTTATGCATTATATATGGCTGGTAGTGATGATGAAGTAACACACGCCCACTGTTGATTCGATTGTTGTCCTGAAATAGATAATACACCAATAAAACATACTACTATGATTAATACTGACTGTGCGAAAACAAAGTGTACAATTACAATATGCTCTTTTCACACATCGAGAAAGTAACACAGCTCATACGACTCAACATCACCGGTGTAAACTGGCTGGTAATTGTAGACGAGGTACTTGGACGCTTCATCTTCGCTGGAGAATCTGTGGTTGCTCTTCCGTGCTGATGACAGAAGAAAACAAACATGTTATGCACTGATACGCTAGGCTGTTCCTACAATCATAATCGACTTAATTCTCAATCAAAATAATCACTATCATTAATTTACATAGTAGCATCAGGAGCATCAATGCAGCATATTCATCCTCATCACCATCCTTTTCATTATCATCTTCATCATCCTTCTCATCATCATCATCATTTTCATCACCTTCATCATCCTTCTCATTATCATCATCATCCTTTTCATTATCATCATCTTCATCAATCTTCTCATTATCATCATTCTCATCATCCTTCTCATCATCATTATCCTCATTACCATCATCAACCTAATCATCAATAATTGTTTTTATCAATATCACTAACAGCATCATCATCACTAGCATTGTTGTTATAATGAACACTATAATGTCTATCAATGTAATTATTATCATTATCATCATCAACACGAAATGATTAATCATGAGCATAATCATCATCATCATCATAATCATTGAACTAATTTTATGTATCATTGACATCATTATTGTCAACATTAGGCTATTAACCTAAAAAATACAGGGTTGGCTTTTTTCTTTTACACCAAGAAAGTGCCAACATATGCTAGCATGATGTTTTAAGAGGCAGAGATGGGCGGAAAAAAAAATTTGTTTTCCTATATAGCAAATGGTTTTGCGAAAAACATCCAGACGGAGGCAAAAATAAATATAAAATGTTATTGTTCTAACTCTTTGCTAAATAAAAAACCAAAATTAAATTGTTATTTTATTTTCTGCCTTCCTCTGACGATCTTTAAAAAAATAGGGGCAAGAAACAAGGTATAACTAAGTCTCGCCTTAACAGTAAAAAATAATTATCAATCAAAATCACCTTCGCTGACTAGGAAGTTGGCGACATGTTGGGCGACAGCCAAAGCGCCGGGAGAGTGTGGAATAGCGGAATCTCTATGTGGATTCCATTCAAATGAATTCTTCTCAGGGTGCCATTGGACTGCATAGATTGGGTGATCAAAAGCTGCGGAGGAAAAAAACAACTGCCATGAACAACAAAAAGAAGGGATGATATTCAAACATCAGGTAAGTATTTAAAACAATCGAAATAGTACCTTCCATGGTTGAAATAAATTCAAGTCCATTGCTATCTTTATTCACAGAAATAATTCTGAAGAACTTATCCAGTCCAAACTTGGTAAAATTCTGCAGAGAAAAAATAAATTCAATAAAAAAAAATATACAGAAAACTGGATTTGTTTGTCACACGGCCAAAGTATTGTATATTCCTGGATCCACAACTGATCATCATTATCATCATCATCATCAAATCATCATCCCCATAATCATCTCATCATCTCCTCTAACCACTCAATGCGCCTGTTTGTGCAGTTTACAAAAGCGTGAACGATGTCGCGTCTTTTGTGGTCGTCACAACGGTTCAAAAGTTTTGTGCTGTGGTAACATATTTGTGACGTTTTGGCTCCCCAACATGGCATCAGTGGCTTCACTAAAACCAGCCAATGAGCAATCCAGATCAGAGGTATTACATTCTCTTCTTTATCATCACTGTATTACAGGGCATACGGCCATCACTGTGCATACAGCCTATGTCATTCTAACAGATTTCCATTACCAATTAGTATGAAAACAAGGCAACACAAAAATTCATCGATACCTTATATTATTGAAAAACTAAATGCCTGTGAATAATTGCAACTTAGATAGAAGAGCAGCAGACAATTTTGTAGTTTAATTATTATTTTTTAATTCATTAATATCAATATTATTAATCAACATATTTGTTTAATACAATAGTAAAAACAATATTTTTTTCTTTATTTAAATTTGTATATATATATATATATAGTTCTTATTCTAGCTATCTTATTACTTAATTTAGTTTGTACATATAGGTGAAACATGAATTGAATTTTTTTTAGACTATTTAAGTGTGCAATATATTCTATGAAAGCTTAAATTATTAGATTCGTTTTAAATTTTTTCTTATCAATTGTAATACAAACATTTTTAGCTGTGTGCTACCGTTTTGTACGCTTTTTTTTTATATCGCAATAAAATATTTATAAAATAGAATAAAATTACATCCTCACCTTTGGGGTAACTGCAAATTTATGGTGATTGTATGTTGAATTTTCTGTTGTCAGTGCTTTAAAAACATAACCTGGAGTTCTTGTTACATCAAAGATACGACTTTTAACAAAATCTGGTACAAACAAAAATAGGATAAAAGAAACCATGAGAAACAATCATACCAAAAATCGTATATTTTAAATAAATGTTAATTATCAACCAAAAACATAATTATTTATTTCAATCATAAAGTTGTTTAAAATAAGAATAACCGTGTTCTGTGCGCGATGTCAACGCAGTGTTCAAAAAAACGTAACAATTCACGATTTTTTGTCCGGGCTTGATGTGAACGTAGCTTTAAGCTTGTGAGTTTGAAGCAACATTGACTGTAGGTTTTGGTATGGTACTTGGTGACAAAAAGAAAATTTTGAGATGAGCGGAGACGGCGAGAAAGACTTAACTACAGAAACTATAATCGATTTGATTTGTTACCTGGGGTGAGTTGTAACGGCAGCGCGACGTTTTCAGACTTCACACCACCAACCAGAATATCTTTACCTGCAACGAGTGATGCCAGAAGCTCATGTCCTTGACAAGTTCCCCATATCGGAAAGTAGCCTCCACTGTTACTGCTCTGAATATTAAAAAAAAAAATTAAAATAAAATTAATTGTTATTACTGTTTTTTTACTTTAATGTTATTATTTTTTTTTTAACTACTTGATTGGTTATTATATTTTTTTTTAACTACTTGATTGGTAGTCAAACTGCTATGAGTTCAATTCTTCTTGAATTAATAACTACCTAGGCTATCGTGAAAAAATCCAAAAATAAAAAGTAGAAGGAAATGTATTTTCTTTTTTTTTTACAGTCAACATTTTATTCTTTTTACAGTGTACCGTAATTTTAATTTCCCTTACACAGGCATAAACATCATAGCTTCTCTTAATTATGAAATTAAGTGGAAATGTATTTTTTTTTTAACTATTATTCTTTGTCTTTTTTCAGTAGTATTAATATTATTTTTTATTATAATAAAATTTTTGAGAAATTACTATTAATTATTGAACTAAAAAAAATGAATAAGTAGGACATTTCAATTCCAATGCCTTTATGTTATATGTATGGCCAGACAAATTGAATTTCCACGATGATAAATTTATGATTGAGAGGCATTTATGTTCCACTATAATCATTAACATAGTAAACACCTTACTTTGATTGCTGTTACTTCTGATACAATTAAGAATTATAGATAATCAAAAAAATGAGAAAAAGAAAACATAGTCTTGCATTACAGTATACAAGTATAACAAAAGTAAAGTATACCTTGTTTTTTACCTGATAAAATACTGTCTATTAATAAAGTACTGTATATCAATAGTAATGAAAGTGTATGTATAAAAACATAAATCAATATTATTATATAAAAATTTTTTTTAAAAACCCACTCAATTGCATCATTAAGAGAAGCTGATCATGTTTATGCCTATGTAGACTACACCCAGTTTCTAATTCATAATACACAAAAGCTGATACAAAGACACTCCCAGCACTGCAGCAGAAACCTATTGTAGACCAGCATCAAGACAGACACCCCATTGTCCACCCCTACCTTACAATGGTATAATCCATTGTTGGGTGGCTTTGGACAGCGGTGGCTGTACTTAACTCCCTCCCCCACCCCTTTATAGTTCTGTGTACAATAATAACTTAGTCTATGTTATTATTGCATAGCCATTAATGCACCACCTATGTACACAATAGAGAATACCAGGGAACAGTGAACTGTTCCCTGAGAATACAATGCACTTATCAGAAAAGAGCAAGGGGTTGTTCCTGGTGTAATTACTAAAACAATACACAATCCCTGCCTTTTCATTTCCACACAACAGACTAAAAAACCAAAATCCAAAGTTGACAAAAGATGCTAGTTATGAACAATACACAATCCCCTGCTCTTTTCTTCTCAAACAAAAGCTAAGAACTTTTGAAACAAAAGATGATGGTTACGCCTACTTTCAAGCTGCCTAGGTTCTAAAACTAGGCCTAAGGCATGCTTGTCATAATAACTGATCATTGTACCTTTACAGCCAGATCAAAAAATATTTTTGTAGCTTTTCCGTATCCCGAATTAAGGACATCTGCCTGGGCCCCTCCTGGTACCAGTAACCTAAAAATTACAAAATAACAACAAGAATAATGACAAAACTATTCGGTACTCTTCCAATGCTTATAATTTCAATTGGTTATTGTTGGGTATTGTACATTGGAATTAGTTGAAATAAGATATAGCTCACTTCACTTTTAAGAATAATATTTTTTTGTATCTCTTTATTCTGAATACACAAATAATACTCAAGGATAAAAACAAAATAAATTACCGAACTGGCAAACTTTTTTCCGTTGTGGTCTAAAATATTTTATATATATATATATATATATATATATATATACATTCATACATACTGTGAATTTATATAGCGCTACTAAATAAAGATCATACAGTAGCACTGTAGAAAAACAAAATAAATATCAAACGAAAACTAACCAGTGAATCAATCATTTATACAATACAATGAATTCAAAGGCTAAACAAATATAATTTACTGAATTTTAACATTTTAATTTAATTCCATGTTTGAATGGTTGTAATTTGAAAAGTTACTGGCATTTTGTGTGAGAGGCTGTCTCTTGAGAACGTTGTATTGTGATTTTGCTGTTTGTCCAAGGTTCAAAATACACAGTTGAACTTGCCTAAAGTCGAATCCAAAATGGCATTGAAAAATGGTTAAACTAAGATAAAATTTGACTTACAGATCATTAATTATTGGAAAAAACACAAGAATTTAAACACAATTATCGTAATTAGTCATTTCAATTAGCAATTTACTCCACCCCAAGAGCTTTGCATAGTCTTTCTGTGTTTATGAATTATGTTTTAGCTCAAACTACTGTGGAGCTGTTACAAGAATTAATAGACAATTTGCATACAATAATTTGTTGTAATTAGTTATAAACACTAAATACCTACCCATTTAATGAGTTAAACAGTTTAGTGTAATAGTCAATCGGTTGGTTTATCTTGACAAGCACGGCACGAGCACCGCCTGACTCTACAAATTTCACGTAGGATGCGGCAACCGCCGACGGTCCAAATTTTGCAAGACTACCATGGGTCTCTTGTGACATTATACCTGGAGAGTACAGATTAATAAAAGAAAAATAATACCTGTAAGTGTAAATGCTATATGGCATTGGTTAAATAAAATCACTGTCAAGGGTGCATAGTCCTAATGTAACACCCATAAATTCAGTCTGCTGAAGTGATAATTTATTTTAGATTCATATTCAATTGTAATAATTTTACCTTGCCATGGTTTCTTCCGGAAAGTCTGCTAAGGGACTATGCACTGGGAGCTGACAAGAGTTGTTTAAGCTTAGGTTTACTTCCTACTAGTGAATAACAAATCCATCTATAACTAGGGCCTAGGCCTACTACTACTACTACTAGAGTAGGCATAACACTGCATGCCAGACAGAGTAAGTAATATTACTATTATTATTAATATTTATTAGGGCCTAAGCCTAATAATTTGAAGACTATCAATAATGATACTTAACTATGCCTAGGAACTAGGTTGTTGTTTTTGTTTTTGGTAATTTCTGTTTCTCCCTCCCGGCACGCCCGCAGATATGCCCTCCAACCTTCCATTTATTAGGCCTACTTCCTGGTTGCGGTGTAGGCCTAAAAAATTAAAGGTCTAGGTCCCAGGTCTACTACACAGAGGCCTACCTGCACTGCCTACTTAAGTTCTAGGCCTATAAAAAATAAAGTATAAAACAATTACTGTTTCATAGGAATTTCGAAAGTAAAACTTACCAATAATTGGACGCTCATTTAGATTTTGTTGACCTGAACACAAACATACTAAATATGTGATGACTGCTGTGAATTTTACTACTCCAAATCCAAATTTAAAGGCCATGTTTGCCTGAAATAAGACACCGCGTAATAGCTGTCTCCAGGCCTATTGAGGCTGTGTGTGGAAAAACAGAAAGCCTTTACGGCTATCATGTGATCACAGATACTTTACGGCTATCATGTGGGACTTTCCCAAATCAATCTTCGGCCGCTGGGGGCGGCATGCAGAAAATCATCAAAGTGTAACCCATGTGTAACCTGATATGATCATATCCCAATACTCCTTTTTAATACTCTTCCGGAGGTCACTCTGCTTGGAAACCAACCAAACAGCAATCAACAATTTGTGATGTGTTGGGTTTTGTTTAGGTTTTGGTCGTTTTTACAAAGAAATAGAATTACACCCTCGACAGAATGAGCAAGTTTCAAAAGTTCTAACAAATAATTTAAAGTAAGTACGATGTGTCTTCGTTAAAAACTAGATACACTCAGTCAATTAATCGAAAACTCGTTCGCAATCACATGCAGTGGAGAATTTTAGTCCCTCCACACGAGGACGCCTGTACGACCCTGGCGTCAGCTAGTCCTAGGCCTAGCCTGAAACGACAGTAGTGAGCCTAGGGCCTAGCTAGGCCTAGTATTAATTAAGGACCGGGTTCTCTATTATTATCGCCATACTAGGCTCTGGTGTAGTAGTAGGCCAATCTTATGCTACTTTATATAGTATCGTTCAGGGAGTTGTATACACAAAAGAGAAGCCTAAGCCTAGCCTAGGCCTAGCTTAGTAGTAGAGATCCGGCTGCAGATAATAATGATGAATAATTATAACATTTAATAGGCTTACTAATACTACTACTCGGCATGATTGGCTAGGCAAACGTCAATTGATTTATTTACAGTACATTAAAATTGTAATAGAATTAGAATTCAGGTTAAAATTTTATCAATAAACATCGTTGACTCAACAAAATGGGTAGGCAGGACCATTTTTATAATTAGTAATATTAAAGGCATTATATCAACGGATGACAACTTCGGAAAATGAAATATCCTGTATTTTGGTCATTTTTTTGGGAAGGACCCAGGAAATTCGCAATATGTATTTTTAAATACTGCATCTGGTTTCTCCCAGTAAAATTATGAAACTTGCCATCAGTATTTTAATCAAAGTCCAAAAGTTGAATTAACCACCTGGATCTAGAGGTAAGAAATCTTTTGCAGTCATGATACTCATTAAATAGTTCTGCCATGCCTGAAAATTAGATTAACATATCTAGCTCCCTCTATTGTTAAATATATTGTCGAGTATTTCTTTACATTACATGAAAATTATTTGTTTATTGTAGACTATTAATAGTGATGTTTTTGGTGCTTAGAAGACGTTTGTAATGTTTGTTTTTTTTTAAATTGTCCAATTGTGAATGAGTGGTATTAATTTAGGTTAGATTGTATTGGATCGTATTGTTGATACTTATTAATTATTTTTCTGCAGTACAGACAGATGTAGGGTACTTTACAATTGTACAATACAGTAGTGCATTCCCCTGAAGCCAGTGACAGCTTGTGTTTCTAAAATAGAATTGTTAGTCAAAACAATGTGCTACCCATTCTACTAACATTTAAAGTTAGCATGGGTAGCATAACATGGTTCACATTTTTGTACAAAATACAGTAATACTCTCTAGTCAGTCATGTTAGAATTGTTCACCCAAGATATATTAAAAATATTATTAATAAGTATATGTAAATGTCATTTTAATCAAACGATGAAATTTGCTAAATGTGCAAAAATATGTTAGCATCTAACTATGATAAAATTAAAATTTAGTGAGTTGAATAACATTTTGTATGAAGTAAATAATCATGTTTTTAGTTTCTAACTCTATTTATAAATATTTAAAGTAAAATTTGATATTATTTTCTTTCTATGTTCTATATTTAGGTTGAGCCTAATTAATAATATACCAAACAGATGCTTAGTCAGGTAGACAATATGGCATTATTACCTGTTATGAAACCTTGTGGTATGCCCACAATATTTGGAGAACTGGAGGAAAAAAATGTAACATTCTTAATCAACACATCCAGCAGTATGTTTGTATACTTGAACATTGTGAAGAAACACTTAACAGAGGTGTTACTGGCAAGAGCGTATGGGCAGATCAACGCCAAATTTAACATCATGGCTGTTGCCACAGAGATCACGCCATGGGCAGATAAACTCGTACAATGTACGCCACAGACCGTGACCCTCGCCGCAGAATGGATCAAGAACTTGACATGTAAAACCGGTTCAAATATGAAGGATGCTTTTATAGCAGCATACGCAGATTCATCCTGCGATTCAATCTATTTAATTACAGACAGGCTCCCGGATCAATGTTCCCAAGAAGTCGTTTATCTAGCAGAATTGCGTAGTAATGGTAGGCCGGTCCATGTCATCCTTTTCGCTGATTCAGAACCAGATTTATTTGATGTTGGGCTGCTCGAACAACTTGCAATCCAAACAGATGGAACATTACATTTGATCTGTGTTTCTCGCAACGGACGTGTCGATAGTGTGAAGCCAATAATATCTGCAGACAACAGACTTGCAAGAACAACGACATCAATTCTACAGCAGCCATTGGTGGAAACAGTTACTACAACAATGCTCAACTCACCTGTTCACAATGTACGCACATATTTAAATGAAGATTCAATTCCAAATACTAGTATTACAACAATGCTAGATAATTTTTCGGAGGTAAACACAACAACATTTGTGGCTGGTGTTGTAGAGACGAAGTCTCAGAAGGTTTGTAATGTGCCTTCATCACTGGACAATCAGCCTATCATGGCACAGGTTGTGTACTTAAAAGAACCAGCAAACACATTCAACACTCGGAGTCAGTACATCCTGCCAGATTTAACATGGGATTCGCATTCATCTCACGTTCACCCAATCGTTTACGACCTGGATGAGGATTTTTCTCCGATAGCTGGGACACTGCTTAATGGGGCACAGGTTCTGGCTCGCAGGGACAGAGATGGCTACTACTATATGGGTGTTGTTAAGCAGCAGGTAAGGAAGAAGAAAAATTTTCACTCATATTACAAACTTTGTACTCATTAAGTCAATAATTTAGTAAATTTATATAAAGTGCAAAGACATGTTGTGAAACCCAGAGTGGCGTAACAGAGGGGTCTGAGATTCTGGCTATATAAAGCTTCTTTTGGTCCTACTTCTCAGGGGCTGCATCAGGGCATCTGTAGATTTTAGGCCCAAGAAATAATTTCCATTGTGTTTTTTTGTCATTCAGGAATTTCTCTGTCGTGGTCATCTCGGACAATCTACCATCATATTACATTACACAATCAATTTCAATTATTTACACTAATGCAAAGTATCGAAACCAAAAAAGCAGAGCTTGTAACACGAAATGCAAGCATACTTTTTATGATAATAACAAATAGCAAAAAGACAATAATAATTAATATGAAAACTTTAAGATTTGTTTTGAAATGCATTTAATTTTTATACAGTTTTTTGAAATGGAAGCAATACTATGATCATAACAAAAAGCAAAAAGAGATAATATGAATAAAAAACAATAAGAAAAATTCCTACCAAATAATATACGCAAGCGGTACTCAGTAAAGACAACTTGATTCCTTGCTTCGAACAAGGTATCCATTCGTAGAAGTCTTTATGAAAATAAGCCTATCTAATAATGATGTTAGCAGACTAGAACATACCTCCAAATTTAAATTGAAAAAGATTTAAAAATGTTTAATACAGACAAAATGTATACATAACAGGCCTTGGCCTAGTCCAGTTACAATATGTACAATTTTTTAGTGAAGTGATCAAATATATGCATATGTTATCTAGTAAAATATATTTAACGTCAATATTAAAGAATCAGAGAAAGAAAGAATAATAGGAAAGAAACTTGGATGGTCTTATTGTATGCCAAAAGTGTTATATAATGATGACAATGATTCATTATTACATTTTATTGTTTGTAGTAGATTTTGGACACTAATCATCAGAGGTAAAGGTGTCAAGCATACACGTTAAAAAATCGTTATTATTATTATTACGTTTCATAATTTCGACATTGAATTAATGAGCAATACCACTTGAATAAATATAATTTTAAAGATTTGTTTTGAAATGTATTTAACTTTTTGATAATGGGTGCCAGAGTATGTAGTAGTAAATTTTGTTAACTGTTTTCCCCAAAAGGTTACAGTGAATGGATACTTTCTGATTGCATTCAATGAACACCCAGTTGGAACTCGCTCAACAAAAAATCGCTTCCAGGAAACTGCAATTGTTGACATCATTAAACATGATGATGGTTTGCGACACCCTATTCTACCTGGAGACAATGTTCTAGCCCCTTGTGATAAGGACGGTGTTTGCTATGCCCCTGGTACAGTACTAGAGGGAACAGAAGGCAGGTTTGCAAGGGGTAAGTACGACCTTATATTGTGTCCATTGGTATTAGAATTTGGCAATGGAACACTTTGATAAACCAGAGATTTGGACACAGAAATTATATTTAAGACAAATATCCATTTTACCCACACAAAACACAGTATTTGTTTTTAGTACGCTTTTTTTTCAGTTACCCTCCACAACACTTACTTTGTAATGAGTAAAGCAAGGATCGTTGCCCCTTTTTATCGCCTAGTTCTAATACTAGTGTTATTTTGAGGAGTCAATTAGATTGACAGCTGGCCTGGTCTGAACCTGGGTCTTCAGCCCAAAAAGCAAAAAAAATATACCTCTCAGCTATCTACTCAGCTCAAATTTTACCAAAACAGACAACCACTTTGTGGTTAGTGCTACAGTACATGCATTTTGCCAAGAGAATTTTAATGGCTGGCACAAAAAATGTTGTATTTTCTAGGCCTGACATTTTGTGTTCCTCTTTAGTTGCACTTATTGAAAGGGAAACAATTTTGACAACAATACACAATACATTATCCTACTTTCATAAAGTATGCAAAAAGTATGATCACCGATGCCATTTAAAAGATAGATCAAGAATACAGTTGAAGAAACTTTAAAATGTCGAACAAACATGTGCGTGCGAGACATCAATTACTTCATTAAAAATATGTTTCCAAAAAATTAACTTTGCTGTCCATCATACAGTGACAATACATGAAGCCCACGGAAATACCTAACTGAGCAATACATAAATTGAATAAATTCAAAGGTTATGAAGCAGTTTAAATGGCTTCTTGTTGAGAAAAAAAAAAGTTGAAAACTAGTTTCAATTAAACACCACATCCTGCTTGCAGTAAAGCACATCTGAAATGTATTCATGGTGCCTGTCAACAAATATTTACTGATTCCCGACCGAAAAATATGAACAATATCAACAAAAGCATGACATGTTTTCTCAAAAGCATTTTATAGTGCACTCAGCACTCTGAGGCCATTAGTGGTTGACCTATAAATATGCTGAGCTATAATAAATTGTGAAGGATGGTATTTCTCTTTTGTCGTCTGTCTTCAACCATAAGTATTTAATGGTACCGCCACCTTAAAACTATGTCTGTCACAATATACTATTATATTTGATGTCTGGATATGCGTGTTTTTATGTTTTAAAGTTGCCGTTTCTTATTCAACCAATCATTGACCTATAAATATGTTGGCCTAGCATGGGGCAAGGTTTTATACTCTTTTGTAGTTTGTCTTCACCCTTATGTTTTTAACGGTACCTAACTTCGTTTAAAAGTAGGTCCACCACAGTATATTATTTTTGATGGCATGATATCCTTCTTTTTATGTTTTTAAGTTGCCATGTCTATTCATTCAATTATTGACCTATATAAGTATGTTGGCCTAGTTTGGGGGGAAGTTCTTACTCTTTTGTAGTCTTTCTTCACCCATATGTATTTAACGGTCCTACATACCGCACCTTGTTTAAAAGTAGGTACTGTATGTCACAATATACCCTTATTTATTTGATGGCAGGATATGCTTGTTTTTATGTTTTTAAGTTGCTGTTTCTTCATCTAGTCATTGACCTATATAAATGTGTTGGCCTAGTGTGGGGGAAGGTCTTGCTTTTTTGAGTCAGTCTTCACCCATGAGTACTTAATGGTACCGCACCTCGTATAAAAGTAGATCTGTCACAATATACTATTATATTTGATGACACGCTATGCTTGTTTTTATGATTTAAAGTTGCCTTTTCTATTCATCTAATCATTGACCTATATAAATATGTTGACCTAATGTGGGGGAAAGTCTCAACTCTTTTGTTGTCTGTCTTTCCATGAGTACTTACCGGTACTGCATCTTGTATAGAAATGGGTCTGTCACAATATACTAATTTGATGTCACGATATGCTTGTTTTCATGTTTTTAAGTTACCGTTTCTATTCAGTCCAATGACGTTGAACCTTGAAGCCCTTTCTCAGTTGAGAACAGTGCATGGCCATTGCACTCTTAATAGGTTGTTGGAAATGAGCTTAAGGATAATTGGCTCATGTGCACTTTTAAGAACCCAGTACAGTACATCTGCATTTCTAAAAGAAGGGGACATGTGGACCCCCCTGGTACAATCTCTTTTTACTTTTATCACCCTAACCTTCGCCATGGGGAGCACTGTGCCTGCATTTTGCTAGCAATTTACTTGTAATTGTACCTATTGATATCTTGTTTTTTCAAAAGTAAAGTGTAATTTTGGGGAAATTGAAGTATTTGGTATGTGGTACCATTGGCATAATGGTAATAAACAACAGAAAGGCACAAAACTTCTTTAATAGTACACATTGTTAAATTACAATTTGCAATAATGTAAACATAAAAATAAAATTGCTATTACCTTATCCATTGCAGGTACAGCAGATACGAATAATCTGGTTGTTAGATTCTTCAACGGAACCACTATTAAGATCCCAAAACAGACAGCAGTTTGGCTGCAGAAAGAACATTATGATCGAATCAAATTGGGAATCCAGATGCCACTGTTTGCCAGACAGAGTCTGGAGAATGACCCACACTACCCATTTCAGGCATTATCAGGGTACACCACATCTTTACCAGTTAAATCAAACCATACTCTGACATCAGGTGAGTTTTTATATACCATTGCAATGACCGTCAATCATTTAGCACCGGGCCAAATCTAGGAAGCAATAATGACGAGGCTAGATACATGAAAATAAGGTCGCTTATTTTGGTGTGAAGCGACAGTCGAATTGTAGCCCTAAAGATTTTCATCAAATGTATTAATACAAGATAGCGATCTACGCGCGTAACAAATAGAAGCGTTAGTGTTCAGTAAAAAGAAGCATAAAAAGTAATAACTTTTGAGAGAGGGCGTCCTAGTTGTTACCATGGTTGTTATAGAATTTGCATGCTGATGTGCTATCTTTAGTTAACGATCTCTGATGTTAAAATTTAAAAGAATTTGAATGCCTGTTATAAAATTCAAATTAGAGAATGATTTTTTAATATTTTTTTTTTTTGGGCAGATTATGCAAAGATACCATTGCATAGACGTAGCACAGGAAATTCTCCCTACTGTCATACAAGTGTAAAAGAAAGTGTGGTTAAATCTGAAGATATTGACCAAATTATTCCTGGAACCACCATGACCAAAGATGAATTAAATGATAAAGTGATAAAGCAACTCATCGACCATAAGATGGTGATACAGGATAAAACTCGTCTGCTAAATAGGGAGCCTTGGGGTAAGAAAAGCGTGTCGTTCCGCCGGGGTAATGAATTGGAAAACGACGTATGCTTTGCGCAAGGCTCTGAGAGTGGTGTGGAAAAGAGTAATGAATTAGGACATGAATATGATAGGAAGAATTTTGAAGAAGTTAGAATGAGTAGAGTGGTGACTACCGAGACACAGACATTACCATTACCTGGCCTTAGTGTTAGAACTGATTCTATTCCACTAAGCCAACACTCACTGTCAGGGATGAAACTAAAGTCCAACAAGTCTCTCAATTCAAATGATGTAAAATACAGCAATGATCATGATTCATTAGAGGCACGGGTTCAACCATACATGAAAGATGCCCCCAACGGGCTAGTTAATGGCTCGAACCACTTCATCAAATCAGTTGATGCTTCGATCAGGAGTGATCGTGCCAGAATGGAATGGGAGATGAAACATCCACATCCTCCTCCTCCTCCAAGCCAGTTAAAAGTAACGCCGAGCCAGGCATTGTGGACGCAATTTGCGAATAAAGATTTGGCTCGTGAGGCAAAGGAGCAAAGCTTCATTGAGTATCGGCGCAAGCAGGTCACCAATCGGGAGGAGAGCTGGAATGATAAAAAACAAGAAAATGAGCAGATGAAAGCTGCCAAGGCAGAGCAATACAGGTGCGTTGAAATGTATTCTATACATGATTTTCACTAAATTTGAAACGAATATGTCTAATAACCTGGCAACTACCACTGGGGGACTTCCCGAGGTCTAGGTATTTATATGTTTTATCTTTGCTCTGTGACGGGGTGAGGGACCTTCTTGTTGTAGTGAGTTACCCTAGGCTAGTCTTTGAAAACAAAAAACCTGCAGTGTTTTTGGTTGTCGAGGTACTACACAAGAAGAAGGTATGTGTTAAAAAATAATGAAATTTGCTCAGGCTAAGCTGTTGGAAGTCCCCCAGTGAAAAGTTGCTAGAGGTTGGTGGCGCTGTCTTAAAATAGACCAGATAAAATGGTGTATAGCTGTTTGTTCAGGTTTAAAAGGTTTGTCTACAATATCAAAGTTTAACTGACAATTAAATATGATATGCCCATATTTGGTTGTAATAATAATATGACATCATCAGGCACATTATATGTACGTCATATTATTTGTCACATAGAATTATATAGTGTGGGAAAAGCTTAAATATGTCCAGACTACAAAATTTTCTTTAGCAAAAAACTGTTGCATAACCATATATAGTTATGATGTACCTATATATGGTCATGATGTGATGTCATCATGACCATATTTAGGTATATCAAATAAAATTTGATAGTCTGGGCAGGACATTAGAATAGTATGCGCATAAGTCAGTCCATTCATTGTTGCTTTTAATCCAACTAATAGGAAATATACTGCTGACGTGATAAGAAGGGATATCGCAAGGCAGAATGATAATGAGCAGAAGTTAAGAAACGTTCAAGAAGCCAAGAGAGCCGCCAGCGCAAGTATTGCTAAGCAACAGCAGGAGAATGCTGAGCGGCATGTAGATAAGGAGCGTCTTCGAATACAAGCTATCAGCCAACAAAAACAACGACGAGAAGATATCAAGATGCAGAGACAATATGAGATAGAGGAGACAATGGCACGAAGACGGGTAAAACATCATCTTTTTCAAACCTTTTCTAAAATTAGATTTTTAAAATACATTTAAACTTCATGTACAATATATTTAATTTTGATATATCTTTATTCAGGGATCCATTCAGTGACTAGCATCACTTTCCAAAGGAAACTGGTACTTTATAATATAAAACAATGTATGTAAAGAAAATAAATAAAAAATAAATATTATTGATATGATAATGTAGATAATACAGTACAACAATATCAATGGTAAAAACATTTATGGAGGTAATAACCACCACCAAAATTAATATACAGTAGTTATGTAAATCATTACAAGATAAATGACTGTATATTGTATAAAATGTTACAAGTAAATGACTCCACACCATGAGAAGCGGTCACAGAATAAAGCAACAAACCTACTGCATGCCGAATAAGTTCTTGTGAACATTATTAGAGAGATTGTTCTAAAGAAGAGAAGCCCTGGTGGGGGACGTATGTGTTAATTATAGTTGATGGCTGGTAGGTTAAAAATGTCAGGAATGAGGAGAAGATGTTTAAAAAACTGATAGTCAGTGGCACTACTATTCATCAAACATTAATATTTCTCAAACGATTTCCAACCTGGCTGCCTGGCCTATCGAGCTTCCAGCAATCTCGCCCCATCTATTATCTGTCATAGACTTGCCAGGATTACTGCTAATGATCGAATGTCCATACAGCAATTTTCCAGGGGAGACTTTGTCGTTCCAAGACCACAATGCAAACTTTTTGAACATTCTTTTAATTATAAAGGACCTAAATATTTTACCTCATTTGACATTTCTATAAAAAATTCCAGCACATTTTAAAATTTTAAAACTTAACCTAAAGAGTTTATGTGGCAAAGACAAGCCAAACCAGTCACTCGTCATAAAAATTGATTTTTAGTTTATTTATACAGTTAAACAGTGAAATGAGAGCTCTCTACATACAGCTGCAGAACAATATTTGAAAAATCAGCCTTCAAAATTTATGATTTTGAGCATATCTTAGGCAGAAACCATCACTAAATTATTAAAAATTGTTGTTTTAACATTGAAACTGGGAAAAATAACAGCATAGCATGATATATAGATATATAAAGGTTAGTTTAGTGCAATAAAATATATTTCAAAAACTTTGACATCCCAGCATGTTTTGGCCATTATCTCTGAAACAGTATTTACGACGAGTGAGTGGTTTGGCTTGTCTTTGTCACATATGATTAATAATACACCATTTGCAATTGAAACTTCTACCTGTCATCCTTATTGCATTTTGAGTTTTAACAATTTTAAATTTTAAAAATTGTACATTTGCTTTTCTTGATGTATGTTTCATATTGATGTATCATGTATGCAAATCTTGTTTGTATTGTTGAGGGCCCCTAAAAGAATCAGCTGATGCTGGATGGATCACCCTCTCGAAATATGGTTAAATAAATAAATAAATGTCCCAGTGCCTTAAAACAGCTTGCAGTGTATACTGGCATTACGATTGACTGAATGATTGATTGACTGATTGATTGATTGACTTTTTATCTCACAGGCTATTAAACAACAACTAACTCAGAGAAAATGGGAGGAGCATAGTACGAACATGAAAGAAAAACACGACCAAGAAGTGGCACGTGACAAGATGATGCGTAGTAAACAAATGGCCATACGACACCGTTTCCAGGACATTGAACATGCGAATCAGCAAAAGAAAGATCTACGACTGCAAGTACGCGAGCAGTCACGCCATGAGTTGCGATCTCAAGTTCTACCGTGATTACCAAATTATTTTGCTTTTTTAATTTGTGGAAATTACTATTCAGAGACTAACTTATTTGGCGATACTATACCAGAGTTCTCAAGTCAAATTTATTTTAATGTTGTCATAATTTCAGATATACAATTCTTAAAGCTTTAAAATTGATGACTAACTAAAATTGAAAATTATGCAAAAACCTTGTAAAAGATATCATGGCTTAAATTTAACTCATTTAAGTTTGCTCAAATGCAAATATTCGTAGTCATTTCTCTTTATCTTGACAGAGAAATGCACCTATAGGCTGACAAATTTGATTATTTTGTTACAGAAGACTTTTTGTTTATTGTGATTATTAT